AATTCGTTTGATTGTTGAACAATTTTGGCATCATATTCATAAACCCAAGTCCCGTCACCGTCACAAGTACTAAGTGTTTTATGAATGTAAACACTTTTTTCAACGATTTCTTAGCTGTGATTCAAATAGTAAAACAAAATTTCAAGCAGACTTGTTGTTAAATATTTTCACAACAAAAAATCTCAAAACCTGAAAAATTCATAGCTGCCAATCACAAATTAATTAACATATGTAGATCAAACTTCACTAGAACAAAAAACGCGTATCTCTGGACCGAAAAAATGTATAGTATAACCGCCAATCAAAAATTAATTAACATATGGAGAACAAACTTTAAACCAACAAAATATGGGTTCTACCAATCTAGAAAAACGATTTTTATCACCTCCATTTGCGTGCAGTTTAAACCGAACAGTCCGGGTTAAATTTGATCACGTGGTATTTAATGGTTTAAATGTGTATCGGAATAAATCTTCACGTTAGCACACTTATTTAAACTTTTTCTGAGACATTTTTACCCCACTTACCTTTCACCTAACCCATTTTAATGTCAAAAAACCTACGATTCCAAATAAATCTCTTTACCGCTCGTTTACTATAAGTTGTCGTTTCTCTAGTAATAAGCGCATTAAATCACTGGCAAATTAATGGATTAGGCGCACCTAAAAATATGCCACAAAAAGTTGTATGCCCACAAAAAAGGCGCTTAAACATTTACACATATTACAACGTAGTACACATCTAGGCGCTTAAGCTTATATTAAATAAAAACAGGTTGTTTGTATGTTTGTGACTTGCTTTTGCTCCCTTTTGCTCCCTTTTGCCACATGAGCCTGTATGTTATTTATATACCCAGTTCCCTGTTTCCTGCCTTACGCCTCAGCGCTTTTCTGTGTCTGCGGCAAAATCATATATCACGCTCAATTAACCCTAAATATATGCAAGCATATTTGTTATACTCCCTGGTTGTTGCTGTTATATGCGGTGTGTATGCTTGTTTATAACTGGTCAAGTTTGTGGCAAATAGTTTTTGTTACTGTGTGATGTGTTCACTACATGTTTTGGTGAAGAAGGAGGTGTATGACTGTGTGCTTAAAGTGCCTAAATGGGTACCATGCTTTATAGCATATTCCTATGGTCTTTAACAGGTGTAAATTAAGCTATATTAGGGCGTGAAGAGCATTTAGATTGAGGAAATTAGGGAGTGTTGCGACGAAATATTTATGTTAATGAATTTTTTATCGTAAATAATGGTTGTTGGATGTTGTGTATTCAAATCCTTTCGTTAATTAAGCAAAAGTGGTAGTAGTAGATATATAAAATTGCGGTGCCTACCTTTAATTAATTAATATTTAATACCAAACCACTTTGGAACATACGTGTAACTCATTCCCATAATTTTTTTTTTTTTTTTTTTTTTTTTTTTTTTTTTTTTTTTTTTTTTTTTTTTTTTTTTTTTTTTTTTTTTTTTTTTTTTTTTTTTTGTAACAATAACTAACTCTCAAATTCAAAGTTTCAACCAAGTATTCTCTCCTTTAATCCTTCATATCACCGATAAAGCACACTTCATACAACCAAGTCAACCATGGCGCATCACAGCACTATATCTCTTCTAATTGTCAAATTCCTTTGTATTCACGCCATTCAACCGTAATGTTTACCGCTTATCGCTCGGTTCCCTGCCACTGAATAATTTATACCGCTATCGCTGTTGCAGCTGTTTCTGCTGCAGCATTGCCGTGGTCTGCCACAAATTTATGTATTGCAGCAACTCGAAAATTCAACATTTACCGCAACACTTCAGTTATTTCTCAACCTTGGCGCTTGTGGAGTCGTGCGCGTGATTGTGCTTTTCTATGCAGCACTTCAAATAGATTTGTTGTTGTGGCATAAAGACTGTCTGCATTTCTTCATTTTCGTCGAGTCAGCATTCACCGGAGTTGATGCCACGTCTTGACTGCTCTTGGCTTCGCATTGATCCACCCACCCATCAATCAGTTATTTGCTGAATTCTCTTGCGCTTTCGGTCTGTAAGTAAGAGGCTGCTCTTGTGTTATATCCTTTATGTTTTCATATAAATAATTTTATCGATCGTTAGTCGTTTCTTTTTTTTCAGTTCAATATTTGCTTTGTGCGTCTGCATAATTTTATTATCAAGCAGTCTTCAATATTCGAATGACTTTTTCTATGCGCTGCCATCCTTACGCTTTTATATATGCTCATGCTCATACATATGTGCTCTTTGTGAGCTGTGCTCTCATGCGCATCTATTCGTACGAAAGCGTGCGTGCCCTTTGTATTCAGTGGAATAAATTTGATGAATGTTATATGTGTCTATGTATTTGTGCGCTTATTTGATTACCAATTGAAATGGAATTTTCGCCAGTTATCAATGCAAATGCAGCTACAAAAGGGCACTGAATAATATTCATTAATCGATTTGCTAAATTGTATTTGAAAAAGCTTTTCTTTGAGCATAAGGATATTAAAAAGAGAGTGCGATCAAATGAGTTTAGAGGTATGTGTCAATTTTTGGAATATGTTGAAAATATGAATTATTTGTTTATTTTTAAATATTTCCACTTTTGTTGTCTGGAAACACCCAGAAAGTCAACTGCTGTTTACTCTCAGGCTCATACGAGTTAATCCACGATTCGTTACATGTAACGATGTCATAGACGTGTGTTTCAAAGCATCGCTATCGTGTTTTTTTAACATTTCTGTCGAGTAATCGAACCGTTTTTTGAGTGATTGAAAAATGTGTGGGGTCCAACGTGAAAAAATTGTTTTACAGTCAAATGTTCACGGAATATTGTATGTGTGTTTGGACCAAATGCCCGTAGTTGTGTCAACCTCACGATAGATCCCATGACTATCATGCAATATAAGTTTGCACACAGCAATAGTTTTCGAAATGACAACTGATTTTAAACCACCTTCTCGAAATTCGTTGATTCACCATAACATCAATAAAAAAGCTACACTTATTTCATCTCAAAATAGTCAGATCAAGTTTCATGAAATAAAGAAAGTAGAACATGTTTTTTTTTTTTAAGTCTAAGTTTAAAGGGATACTTTCTTAGTGCGGAAGCCATTTGATTTTACATTTGCCCTATTAATTATCATATTCAATTATTTGTATATCAACTCTGCTTCCAAACTCTGCTTCAATTTAAAAAATTGTTGCATAAGTATTTTTTAAGTTTGTTGCTTGTTGTATGTGATATATATCTGTTATTGCATGACAAGAGTTCATTGCTCGCCCAGCTCTTTTGTAGACAGACAGATATACACTTACTTACATGTACATGTATGTATAGAAGTATGTATGTATGCGTATGCGTCAACATACGAAATAAATTATATTTAATAAGCTCATAAATATGTCGGATACGACATCTTGCCGGACTAAAAAAAACACTTGCTGGCTTGCTGATGCCAATTAAGCAATAAATATTTAGAATCAACGAAATGAGGAGAATAGTAAAGCCATTGCATTAAAGTATTAGGGGGGTCATGAAATACTGCAGAAAATATTTTAAAGTACTTTAACAGCAATGGTATGATATTCGAACAAATTGTTCATTGAATCCTTATAGCATATAGCTACCATACAAAATGAACGATGACAATAAAATTATGGTATGAAAAAAAATTTTTTTGAACAAGTTATCTTCACACAATTTGACATATATTATTTTCGTAGGCATCTATACAATTTCTGAACTTAGATTTTACAGCTACTGCATACTGCTACCATACAAACTGAGTGATCAAAAACGAGTTCTTTTATGTAAACATTTTTTATTGGACAAGATATCTGCACGAAATTTCGCAAGGATTATTAACCCCGACTATGCTACAATATCCAAACTAATTGAGCAGATGGGACCACTATAGCATACAGCTGACATGCAAACTCAACGATGAGAAGTATGTCCTTGTATGGAAAACTTTTTTATTTGACGAGCTATGCTCACGAAATTTCGCATATACTATATTATTTTCCAAAGCAACAGTGCAATCTCCGAAAAGATCCCTCGAATTGAAATATTATAGCATATAGCTGCCACATAAACTCAACGATGAAATCAAATTTTTGTATGACAATATTTTGGTTTGTAGAGATCATTACAGCTTCAGTGCAGCCGAACGCTGTTTACTGTTTTCATTCAAAAACACAGACAACCCTAATAAAGTGATAAAAACATGTTTTCTAGGCATTTGGCCAGTTTACATTTCTATAATCTTTCATGCGCAAATATCATACATTTATATGTACATATTACTCCGCGCTCAAAAGAATTAAATCGATATTTGACACATTGTAGCCGGTTGTGTTGTCATGACAATAATAACAACAACAAGCGCACGACAGCACCGTTTAAAACTGTGCCACTAGGCATATGCGCCGAATGAAAATTCTACCAAAGCAACCTACACTTTGTTGCAACAAAAGACAATGCAAGGGTGCTAACACGGCAGTGAGGAGTGCCGTGCATAGCGAAAAACCCAACAAAGGGACAGACTGACTAACATGCTGGCAAGGGTGTTTGACTTCCTTTGTTTGTCGCTGTTGCAGCTGTTGTTTGCTTACTGCAATTCGCGAATACGAATGCGAAACAGTGCAGCGCAAATAGCACTGGCTGCAACTTTTGACCTCACTTTGCCACTTTACATACACACACAAAGCTGGAACATACATGCAAGCTCATATAAATGCAAATATTTATGCGAAGAGTCAAGCAACTTTGGCGAGTTCGAATAAATAGAAAAAGGCGAGCGGTGGCGTGATGGGAATTGCAAATATGCTGATAAGCAGTTTAAAATAGTTTGTTAAATTAAATGAGTTGGAATATGAAGCAGAAGTGTAGACATGAACAGAGCACTCAAAAAGCGACATTTTCTCCATTCAAAACAGAAATAATGAAAATTCGCATTTTCAGAATTATATAATTTCAATTAATCCTTATTATATTTTTTTCTTCCTTTTCTCTTAGCATACGCAACAGCCGTGGCAGTCTCGATAGCATCGGCACCGCACCACCTTCATCTGCTGCCTCACAGGCCAGCTCAAGCGGTGGCTCGAACCCTAAAATGGACAGCAACAGTGGTGGCGGTGGAGGTGGCGGCGGCGGTTCTGGTAACACCAGCGCCAATGCAAGTCCACAACATCACACACATGCTCAGCACGCGCAACACATGCAGCACCATTCCGCTGGTGTGGTTGGCGTACATCGCTCGAATTCACGAAATGGGCGTGACAACTGGACGAAAATGCCGGAACCACTGAACGGACACAATAAAGGTGAAAAATCTGAAAAGTCATCGCCGTCAAGGCGCAGCATGGGCGGTGGCAGTGGTAGCTCTTCCAAACAAAGTTCACCATCGAGTCGCACTAAGGGTGTACCGCCCAGTTTTGGCTATGTAAAGCGCACGAATGGGAGCGCTACAGCAACAGCGGAACAACAGAATATCGCAATGATGGGCGCAGCCTTGATGAACGCAGGCGGTGGTCAGCCAAATGGCGGTGCTGGTGGTTCGCCTGGTGGTATGTGTGGCGGCGTTGGACGCACAGCACACGTTTCAGCAGTGCCGCGTACTGCCACAGGTGCGGGAGGACGAAAAGTTTCTGGCGGAACTCAGACGTTGCCCAACGATATGACAAGTGAGTGGATAAATCTTTTTTTGAGTATTTGAAGTTTAAGGAAATTTATTGAAAGAAGTTTTAAGTCTGTTGGCAATAGTTGGTCGGGTGGCGCATAAGCGCTGGACTGCAAGCGGCCGCACTTGGACCGGGGTTAGGCCCATTGTGTCCCCGGGAAGTAACCGATTTAAGCCTTATCCAGCAACTCTTGAAATTATATAGAAGACCTGATTATTTTCCTCCCAAGCTGCCCAATGTGTCTTAAGTGAGAGTAATCCTCCGCCTAAGGCCAGGGTGATTTAGTCCTCATCATCCTCTGCTCATGACGTGCATGAATCCATTTTCCCATTTCTGATGGTGTTATCATAGGGCTAGGTACATTGCTATGATTCATACAATGTTGCTAAGCTCCCTCTAGCTTAAACTTAGGCACTCTTTGGTCTGTCCACCATCAATACTATTCCAAAGTATTTGTCCTTTACCTTGTGTTTCTTGTTTTCCAAGACCTGAAGTCTTTCTCTGGGGACAATAATTGGCTCAAAGCTTTAGTTTTAGAAAACAATTTTTCTATATTGTGTACATATATTTGTTGTTGCTTATTTTATAGCTAGTTTCTTTCTTCACATTCCAGAGCTTCCTCCGAACACTCAACATCGTAGCTTTTCTTTAACTGGACCCGGCGCAACACAGCTCAGCCAATCAATACGCGAACGCCTTGCTACTGGATCGCACAGTTTACCCAAGCCGGGCACAGACTTACATTTATTTCAACACAGGTAAGTTCAAATATTTATATTATGAGCATATGTGACCTGGTCAACGAAAAGGGAGCTAACGTGCGAAAACTAGTTTTCTGGGAAACAGCTGTTAAAAAAAAAACATCTCATCTTCCATCTGAATCAACTAAAAAGTGAAAATTTTGACACCTAAGCCCCCTTTCCGCAGACCAGGTCACATATTAGTATGTTAAGTAAATAGGCTAGGAATAGAATGGTAAAATTCGCTGTGATGTCCCGAACTCCATGATATGGATGAAAAAGACGATCGCATACAGGCCAGAATCTGCCATGAATTTGTTGAGGCGACTATTTGATCTTGTAAGGTTGTAAGCTAAAATCTTTTCGCAAAATTCGCCACCACGACATCACAGAGATGGTCAACGCCTGAGAACGAAGAGTGAAAGACTGATTTGGGTCTTCGTCAAATGATGAGCTAGCGGCAGCAATATTCCCGACCTTACGGACACTTCTTTGACCCATTGGATTAAAATCTTTGTATTGGACGCTCAATGGTTGATCTGATATGACGACCATAAATTGGACGTAGCGCTCTTAAAGTTGAGCTTGACTTTTCTATTATCTCAATTTTTGCTTCAAACTCTTCTATTATTTAGTGAAACATACCCTTGCCTCTCATCACTTCAGCATTAATATTCAACAGCTATTTAATTAGTGCACTGCGGCAAACATTAGCAAAACATATTTTGTGCTTTGCTCTGGTGCAAATTAATGCATAACTGATGTAATTAATTTTAGCTGCCCCAACATGTTTTACATTGATGTGAGGGCAACAAAAAAAGGAATATAAAAAGTTGGAAAAATATTGAAAATAATAAAACTTTATTTAGAGACCGAGAAAGCTTTGCTAAATATATATTCCATAAATGACCCGGGTTTAAAAATGATATTAAATTGGTGAAAAGCGGCGAACAGGGCACCAACCACTAATGTGTCTATGCAACATATGCTAATTATGTTGAAGGCCTCTTACCAATTAGACTTAGTAATGGGTGTCGCAAATAAAAATGTTTTTCTAATGGAGCATCATTTTTGACAATGCTTTCGCATGAAAAGAAAATTAATGAAATAATCGAATATTTTCTGAAACCACAAAAATTAAATTCGGGGATTTTTAGGGTGGGAGAGGACATATGAACAGTTTGAGAACGATATCTCAAATACTGAGGGACTTATACAGTTTAGGACGTTTCTATCCTGTTCTAAGAATTAAAATAAAAAAAATATATATAGGGTAGTCGAAAAACTTTTTTCGTATTTTGTCAATAGATGTCGTTGCGTCTCTAGCGGAAAAATGGCAAGAATTTATCGACCAAAATGGTACATATTTGTTTATTTATTTGTTAGTATAAATATGAAACAAATAAGTTAAAGTTTGATTAGAATTACGAAAAGAAAGACCATCGTCGTAATGTTGGCGAAAGCCTAAACACCCTTTATTTCCTAACTAATTGCCATAAAACGACACTAATTAGATGCATTTATCATGATAATTTAACTGATTTATTGCGACAACACCAAAGTTTAATCCTCAGCCGCATTGAAAGCCGTTATTTACACAAATCCGTAGATAGTACACAAACATAGTATATATAACACTATGCTCACCTTTTTCAGAATATCAAATCGTCCTGGCAAAATGATCGATGGCTCACTCTCGGACACGCAAACCTACGCCGAAGTCAAGCCCGAGTATAGCACATACGCCATGTGGCTGAAGCACAGCAACACGGCGGGCAGTCGTCTATCCGAGGGCGATTCGCTGGAGAATATGCAAATCGGTTCGCCGGCCATGTCACGCCACAGCCATAAAATGTTGCAACATCGTAATGCCGCCGCAGCCGTTGCAGCAGCGGCCGCAGCTGCAGCCGCACAGGGCAGTGGCATGCAGCAAGCGTGCGGTGCTGGTGGTGGCGCTGGTGTGGCGGCCACCGGTGCGGGCAATGAGTCGCCATATGTGCAGAGCCCACGACTGAATCGCAGCAACAGCATTAGGTGAGTGAGATTGCTAATAAAATTTAGAAATTCACTTAACTTTAACGAGTTTAGTTTCTGTATTGGTAAATTTTATTCTACTGAAATTAATTGTTACCCTAACTTTTGCTTAACAATGTTTAAATAAATAATTTTTCTAACTTTTAACTGCGCTAAAGCTACTTGAAAGAACGGACATATCCAAGGTGAAAAGGAATTACACTTAAACTTGCTTAAATACGCTTAGTATTTGTTTCACTTAAGGATAATTTTGAAAGTTGCTTTTTCTAATTCGATTTGAATAATTACTAACAATAAATTAAATTTAACTTTATATATGCTTTACATAGTAACTATATTAATCATTTCGCATATTTAAAATAAAGCTTAATAAACTTTTGCCTAAAAATTAACATTTTTTTCGCTTTCAAATATTATCTTTGCAATAATTTTCTTTGACATGTAGTTTTTAATGCTCAATAATATTGTCAATGGGTAAATAATATATTTATTTAATTTTAAATTTCATACTGTAATTAAAAAATCTAAATACTTTAATTAAATTACTTAATTCTTAACTTTTTTACTCAGAAATATATTTCGAATTTTTCGATTCATTTAACAATATTGTTGCCATAGTTGAGTAAATATGTAGATGGTAGTTATGAGACAGCAGACTGCTATTTATGTCATTTGTCTTACATAAGCTCTCTTCTAATTCTCGAGATGTCGCTGAGGTCAATATACTTATATATCGCTTTCTTGTATTTAAACATCCGATATTTGTTTTCATTTAGGGTCTTCCTCTTCTGTATAATAAATAGATGACGCTGTTATCGAAATGCTATATAATCTTTTACATATCCCTAGTAAAACGTTACAAATCTTATTAAGATTTTTTTTATGAAAGTTCTTAAAATATGAATTTTTAGTAAGGATTGATATAGTACTCATATAACAACTTATTGAGTGGAGCTGATGGGTACCCCAAATAATATAATGTCAGACTAGATTAACTTATTTATTTTGAGAAAATGTTAAAATGTATTCACAAAGAGCTTTTGAAAGAAGCTCAAATCTTACAAAGATTAAAGATACTTTCGTGTAGAAATTTAAAAACAAGTAAAAATTAATAAAAAGGCGGGGTCTTTAAAAAATCGGGTATTTTTCTCAAAAATTTTGGTAATTTTGGTCACGGCGTCCATAGAGAACAATGGGTATATAGAGCATGCAGAAAAAAATGTATAATGATCGAATCTGCGAGTAATCACTCAAATAAATTTAAAAAATGTGTTTCTGAAAAAAACTCGAGTAAAAATATACTGATGGAACTGACTGAACAGAGCGGGTACAATAATAAAGACTGTAACACAGAAAATATTTGAAATTTTTATACATAATTTTAGTATGATATTTCTAAAGGCATAACTTTTCAAAATATGACTTTTTTTTAATTTCGCACGAAATCGTATATGACTTTCCTTTCTTAAAACACAAGTCATGGATGGGTTTTAGAATAATTTTTTACATTAATGAGTAGACCCACAAGATGATCATGGTCGGCATACGAGTACTACTTCAGAATAAAAAATAGAAAAAAATGGAATATTACATTATTTCAGTTCAACAACAAGCAGTATAAATGCCCATGTATGGTATAAATATAAATATTTCTCTCAAGTATTTTTTAATAAGTGTATGAGAGAAAAATACATTGGTTAGTGTTGTCAGAAATGAAAGAAGGGGAAGACGTTGATAAGAATTAGAATGGAAGTTTGACAGTTCGCTTCCTATATGAAGTTGTGTGTATCGATAATGTCAATTATATTATATTATTATAAATTATTATAACTTTAATTTTTCTCATTCCTCCTGAATTTTTTTCATGTCTGTAATTTGTAGTCATATATAGGACTGCATTATACTCAAGGACTGCAATACTAACGCGTCTGCGAATATTTATTCATACGGAAGATATAAATAAAATAAAGCTCAGCATCAGGCGTACTGATTGCCGAGAAAATAAGTTGAAAAATATGGAAATTATATATGCCAATTATTGCGAATATGTATGTTTATGTGAACATGCATATTTAAATATGTTCGTGGTAATAATTTCCAGTAAAATTACCATGGCAAGCAATAAAAGCTGTAAAAAAATATGAAGCAGTTAGTTAGTGACGGACAAAAGAAAGAAAGCATACTTTTAAAGGGTGTGCAAAGCTTTCGAAAGTATTGTTCATATGTGAATGTATATGTAAATATATATATGTGTGGGAATGCAAGTAACTGCCCAGCAATGTGAATTTGTAGAACTAGTGCAATGACGGCAGAAAATTAGCAGTCGTGCAGCAAAAATGATGCAACTGTCGCCGGATGACCGGTCTGATGTCTGCCAAGTGCACACACACACAATCTCATTGTCATTACTAACATACATTTATACATATGTTTCTTATTTTTATTTGTGTGTATGTGTGTCTGTTACACTGACACTACTGGTATTTTGCATGCAAATATGAAATGCTCCAGCATTCATTCATTCAGGGCCACAAACACTCACTCAGACAGAATAACAGCGTCGGCAGGGCGTATGATGAACACACATATCCACTTGCAAACATTGTAGTTTTATAACTGTGAATACAAGTATTTACACAAACAAAATGTGTGTTAGCTGTAACTGTCTGCTCTGTCTCTGCGCTTGAGTGGCTGATTGCATGGTTGGTTGCAATGTGGCTTGGCATTTTATGAGTATGTCTGCGTTTGTATGACTTTTATAACGCACTCATTTCATAGCGCTGTCCATATGGTCATTGTCGACGAAGCGATATTCTTCTATTATTTTATAAGTGCGCGCCAATCTTTTATGATTTGCATTTCTGTGATTTTACTCATGTGTGCCATAAAGCGGAATTTTCTTAAATTTTGTATGGACCTTAAAAGCTATGTAAAGTTTGAAATTATCTGAAAAATTTAAAGTCGAAATGAAGACAACAAAAATAATAAGGACTAAGAAATTTTGTGATTTTGAGCATTAATATTGGACTTTTTTCTTCTGAAATAAAATTACGTTAAGGAGGATTAGATTTTGTTAATTATTTATTAACACTGCAAGAAAACAAAAAAATAAAAAAATAAAAAAATAAAAAAAGTTAAAAATTCAAACATTACTAACTGGTCAAGTGGGGGGAATGGGGAAAAATGGGAAATTTTTTTTTTCACGAAATGGAGACTTCCTTAACAAAAAAAATTAAAATGTTGTGTCACTTTTTAATTGGTCCAAAACTTTGAAAAATATTAAAAAATTTAATTTGGGAATCTGGATTATTGCAGACATAAACAAGTCTATAAAAAAGACTCTCTAAAAATTTTAGCTAAATACTCGTATGTCTAGTAGAACCTGAGAAATTTGGGTATCGTTTTGAAAAAGATAGTTTCGCGGAAAACGCGTTTAAAGTTGAACCAGTTCGGTTGTCGAGCCAGCAAAATAACTGTGTATGTCTTCAAGGCATGAAAATTTCGTTTATGCTACATTAATATGTATATTAATATTCCTAAAATAAATTGTATCTAAGTAATAGCTAGTATGATGCCTACTGACTAACAGGGTGACGAATTCGAGCGCATATACAAATTATCAGAATCTATATGAGCCCAAAGAGAATAGAGAGTCAAAAGCTTAACAATGTGGCAGCAGTGGTAGCAAACCTCACTAAAGGACGGTGAATCTACTGACTGATATCGGACATCCATTCGTTTGTCGACAGGCGGCATGAGCACAAACTAACGTAAATACTAAGCGAACATGAGTATTCGAAGCTACCTGTATAGATTCCAGCACAACATTAGTACGAGTTGGCCGACGTGTACAGAGTGCTTTGAAGACTCTGACCACATATTTTTTTATTGCCCTCGCTTTTTAAGTACAAGGGAGTTCTACGGTGGAAAATTTGTCTACACTCATGTGTTAGTCCACTGAGAACTGGAAAGGTGTCAGCGAAGCGGCAGCCTCAATTATGACAAAACTGAGACATATATGATGGACATACGTGCCTTAGAAGAGACTTAAATGTCTTATCACTTCCACGAAGTAATACTTAATTAATTGGTTCAATGGGAGAGTTTATAGTTGAGAGTAGATTAGGTTGAGCGGCTTAAAATTGCACACTCCGGCTTTTGTTGTTTCCCTCTACTTAAAAAAAGAAATAATGTACTTAATCTTAGCTCATATTTTAACTAAATTTCTCTCTTCGAAGAAAATTTGAAATTTTCAGCTTCCACTTTTTTAATAATATCCACTCTTAGAGGACTTGTTGTATCTATGCATTCTTAATATATGCCAAATACAAGAAATATGCAAACATTTTGTAAAAACCTGCATTTCTAAGAAAGGTAGTCGTTTCGTGTATAATCAATAATGAGTATTATCGGTCAAGTTTAACATATTTACGTATCAATTATAGCTGAATTTTTTTATTATGAAATCAGATTTATTTAATAAAATAATTATACAATTATTCAATCAAGTTTTATAAGGTATTCACTGTGGTTGAACCATACTTTATGTTATCCTAAAATTAGAGAAAGGGTAAAAAAAAAACACTAACGTCTATAATACCCTTCATAAATATAATACAAAAGATTCCGTACAGGAACTTGATCCTATCATTCAGTTTTTGTGATAGCTGTATGCTAAAGTGGTTTATATAGGCGGTTCTGATTACAAATGAGTAGCTTCTTGGGGAAAAAAGGACGTTTAGAAAACTTCCGATCGATATGTATACATATATGAAATTCAAAGGTTTCGCACGTTTCCATCTTTGTACAATTTCGTGGCAAACTTAATAAACCACCTTCAGCATATAAAAAGTTATTAAGTTATTTAGTTCCCAAATGCTTTCCATATTTCTCAAAAGTACAAAACTATTGTTACAATTCATATTCGTGAATACCGTTATTAGTTGTAAGAATGCCTCTACTACTTTTTGTACGCCTCTCAATGTTAAAGTACTTGGGAA